AGCCGGCCCGCGCCTCCGAGCTGCAGGTGCGGCCGAGCCGCCGCCCTCCGCGTTCCCTGAGAGGAGGACGTACGAACCCTCGCGGGCCCGGCTCGGCCGGCCTCCCCGGCAAAGCGATCCGAACCCCAGCACCGCAGCGGGGAACGGCTCCGGCAGCCCCCACCTCGCCCAGCAGTGGGGAGCCCCGAGGCGGGCCTGGGCGGGGCTGGGGTCTGCACCTGCCGGGGCGCTGGCACCGCCCCGCGGGCCTCCGGGCCCCGCCGGCGCCCTGAGCTCAGGGACGCGGGTCTTTCCCTGGTGCCACCAGGTGACCCCTTGTCCCAGCCCGGTCCGGTCCGCGTCGGGAGCGCAGTCCCTCCAGGAATTCGTTTCCTCCCCTTTCCCCTGACCTTGACAGGCGTCCCACCGCCCTCCTGGCGTCCACGCCACCCAGACAGAGGGGCCTCGGGCTGGGAGTTCACGGCCGCCTCTCCCGGGCCCATCACCGCTCTGGCACCGATGCAGGGTGCGGTAGAGAGCCGCACGTAGTAGGCGCTCAAGAGCTAAAGGACACACGAGTGAATGAATGAATGAGCGTGCAAACAGGGCTTCGACACACCCACGGCGTAAACAGCTGGACCAGATCCCGGACTCCATCCTCATTATCTAGATCATGTCCACACAATCTAGATCACATCACGTAATCTAGATCCGGGGCTCGCCTGCCCCACAGTATCTAGATCCCGATCCTCATTATCTAGATCCGGGACTCGCTTCGAGTCCTTTCGGAGCGCCACCTTGCGCGGGCTCGGCGGGTGACCCAGCGTGGTGCCGCCGGGGGGGGGCGAGCGGCCCGCGCAGAGCAGGTCAGACACCTGCCTGGCCCCTTTCCTAATCGAGAATTGGGAGAGACCCTGCGGGAGCGCGGAGGACTAGGGACTGGGGGAGACGGAAGACTGACCGCACGGGGGCGCGGGGGCCCGGGGAAGCGGGACGGGGAGAGACGGAAGACCGTGCGGGGGCGCGGGACTGGGGAAGACAGAAGGCCGCACGGGGGCGCGGGGGCCCCCGGGGGCGCGGGACGGTTCCTTGAGATAAACACAGACGGCGCGCACGCGTGGCCGCTGGTGTTCACGCAACTCTGCCTAAACTGGTGAGTACTACCTACCTAGCTACCTAGCTAGCTAGCTGCCTAGCTACCTTCCTGCCTGCCTAACCAACTCCCTCGCTGCTGCCTCACTGCCCGCGCGGCAGTGGGCGAGTCCGCCGGGCGCCGGCGGCTGGGCCGCGGAACCGCGCGTTCCCCGCCAAGATGCTCGTGATCCAGGCTTACCGTACATTCTGACTGTGGCTGAACATCAAATCTAGCTGTCGTTTCTAAAGGCACCTGGATTACTGTAAAATACAGTAATATAAAATAAATGTGTTCAAATGTTTTGTTGTCTTGACACACTTTCTCATTCATAATGTACTAACATATGACAGCCATCAGGGGTGAGTTTTGGTGTCCAGGTTTACAGAGCTCATGGTGAAAATAGTTGAACTCCCACATCCAGCTCTTCCTCCACAGACGGGGAAGAAAGACCGCACCATGAAGGGGCTGTCTGCTGCGGCAGGTTAACAGGTGCCAAGCGTCCATGTTTGACCCCGCACTGCTCAGGTTCTTTTTCCTCAGTGCCAGGGTCTGTGGAAGGAATCTAATACTTTCTGTTCTGTGAACAGTGCTCTGTCTTGCAGCTCTAGGCAATTCTCGGAGAAGGCTCAACGGGCAGGAGGTCTTTATCCCCTAAGTCCCTGTGTTTGCCCTTTCCCTGATGGGCAGTCTGGATTCTGGGGGGACGAGACTCTCAGCTTTCAGTCCCCGACACACACACACACCTGCACCTACAATAGGAATGAGGTCACAGGAGGACTTTCTGCCCCAGCCATGGTGGCTTCCTGCAGCCCAGGAAGAAAAAGAAAATTCTGGATTCACCCAAAAATGTTTCCTTAAGGTTTTCTAACGTGTGAAGAAAAATAGGAACCTTTAGGCCAAAGAAAAAAATATTATTGGCTCCATCAACACCATACAAATACACATTTTACCCTTTTGTACAGCGGGGCCCAGGACCGCACAGGCCACAGATACATCCTGGGAAGCGCAAGCCCCGAAGCTGGGCTGCGGGCCGGGGTGGGGGGTGGGGGCTCGGCCACAGCCTTCCCCCCGCCGGCCTGGGGTCCGGGCCTTCCCTCCAGGCCTGCACGAAGGCAGGGGAAGGCGCCTGCGGAGCCCCGTGGGCGAAAACGAACAATACTGACACGAAGCCCACGGAAGGGCAACGCTATGGGCGAAGGCGGGACGGGAACGGGAGGAGAAATCCCGGCAAAACCTCGGGTTTTCCAGACGTGTCCTAACCCCGTGCTGGCCAGTTCCTGGCCCCGTCCCCGTGCTGGCCTGTTCCAGGTCCCGGCCCTGGCCCCGTCCCCGTGCTGGCCTGTTCCTGTTCCTGGCCCCCACCCCGGCCCCGGCCCCGGCCCGTCCCTGTGCCGGCCCTGTCCCCGTGCCGGCCTGTCCCTGTCCCCGGCCCCGTTCCCGTCCCCGTGCCGGCGGGCACAGGCTCGGCTCTGGCCTGGGCCTGCGCCCCGCGACCCAGCTATCTGCCCCGGTTCTCGGACAAGCGTCATCGAGCGGGAGCGGGATCCGCGGCGGCGTGGGGCTTATGTCCGAAACCGTTCCGGGGCCACAGTCTTCCTCCGGTCTCCGTCGCACGCTGCGGGCGCCCGAGGCTCTTCCCGCTTCCCCGCCAGGGCGGCGCGG